AAGAAGGTAAAACACATCAGAGAGGAGAAACCCTCATCTGACTCTCACGAGTATGAAGACTAGGAGCAAGAGGATGCTCAGATCATCACATGGTTGTGGAAYAGTATGGAACCYRRGATTAGTGTGAACTTCATGTTYCTTGATACTGCCAAAGATGTGTGGGACCATGCGAAGAAATTGTATTCGGGGCAGGACAATACAACCAGAGTTTATCAGCTATATCAAGAGTACTTTAACCTGCAACAGGGCAATCAAAGTCTTGAGGAGTACTATACCAACATGAGAAACATACGTAATGAGCTGAATGTCTATCATCCTCTCACTTCTGATGCCAAGATTCAGCAACAACAGAGAGAGCAGCTTGATGTGACCAAATTTTTGGTGGGACTAAAGTCTGAATATGAACCAGTATGGGCTCAGATATTAGGAGGATCAGCTCTTCCCTCCTTAGAAGATGTATTTGCTCGACTCTAGAGGATTTCTATCGGATCTACTRAGAACTCTAATATCTCAGATAGATCTGCCTTTGCTGTATCGAGAGGCCGTGGTGTTAGAGGTGGAGCTAGGGGAGCTCAGTCTAGCCGTGGTGGTGGTAGTGGTTTTGCGTATGGTCGAAGTGGCAATGGTGGGTCTACTCATAATCGTGGTGGTGGTCGTACTGGGGGCAAAGATTCAGGGGGAGCCCGTGGTAGAGGACGTGGCTCAGGCCCGAGGAAGTGCACWCATTGTGGTATGGATGGACATACCATCAACTATTGTTATGATCTACATGGTCCTCCCTCAACCTGGGCCAATCATGCCGCAATTGGTGACTCAAGTTCCAGCTTTAGACAGGAGAATCATTCATCTGATCAAATGCCTCTTACATCCACAGATGGTCCCGTGAAGGAGATGGTGAGTGTTCCCCGTGATGAATATSAGAGGTTTATCCAATCACAGCAGAACACGACGACTTTCGCTCACTCAGGTATGGCTTGTCTGGCATCCACACCCAATCCCTGGATCATCGACTCTAGAGCCTCCGATCACATGACTGGAACTCCAGGTGTGTTTTCCTCCTTTTCTCATTGCTCAACATCACAATCTGTCACCCTTGCTAATGGTTCCACATCCTCAATTTGTGGTATTGGTAATGTTGACCTAGATCCTGTATCTCTCTCCTCAGTTCTGTATGTTCCTAAATTGCCTTTTAACCTTATGTCTATTAGTAAGCTGACCAAATCACTTAACTGCTCCATTAC